GCTGTCAAGGGCTGGGCTGGGCGCCCTCCCACCCACGGGAGGTGTCATGCTCTGATTTCAGCTGTCAATGGGCCTCTGTCCCGGCAGCATGTTCTCAGCGGCGATGTCACTGGCCACAGTGGGACTGGAGGTAGCACTTCCTCTAATCCCACCTCCTCTGCTTTCTCCACCGACATCCCTCTCAAGCCTGCATGTCCTGTGGCATCAGGCAGAGTGACGAAGGAGGGGACGCCGGCCTAGGCGCCCTGCCTGTGGCCGCTGCTCCTGCCGCCAGGCGCCACCCCCGCTGCCTCCTCTCACCCACCCTCAAGGCCCTCCTGGCATGGGGGGTGCCCAGGTCCCCACACCCACAGGTGCCCGCACTCTCTTTCCACGGGGCTCATTTTCCTGGCCTGTGAATGGGTGAGCAACCCCGATGGTCACTTTGCTCTGAGGGCAAAGCCCTTGGCAAACTCTCCCGTGAAGTCAGCGACGTCAGCCCTCCGCACCTCACGGCACATAAGCCAACCGCTGCCCTCCTGTGGGGGGCACACCAAGAAATGCGTACATTTTGATGACCTGACAAAAAACAGGTGTGATTTTGACTCATCCACACCGGCTGGCTGTTGTCTTTATTTCACCGTCTCCGGGAAGAAGTCAGGCGGTGCATGTTTAGAAATCCTTGCGGCCACCGGCTGAGAGGCACCGCCTTACATAACCACCAGTGAGTAAAGGGAACACAGCTTAATGACCCCTAACTCAGGGAGGAAAGCAAGACCAGGAAGAAGGGAAAGTGTTCCAAAGGGCGACAAGCCAGGCCTGGGGTATTTAAATCTCACGGGCACCTCTGCCGCCCGCTCCATCGCCCTGACACGGAGTCAGGAGGGGAGCCCGAGATGCTAGATGGCAGGTCGGACAGCCCGCCCGCCTGGCCCTCTGACAACATCTCAAAACCGGCAGACAAATGCCTGTCTTGCGAGCAACAGCAGCCCCTGCGGCTGCCACGCTGCCTGGCCTGCCTTCCCGAGTCCCAGCCGCCCGTGGGCCCGGGGCAGCAAGCACTTCTCTGGTCCCTAACTGGGAAAAGGAGAACGGGGCAGGGCAATACTCTGCCCGAGGCCTACAGAGCAGGGCGGAGGCCTGGCACCTGATGCTGGCAGACTCGGCCTCCCAGGCACCCACCTGGCAGCAAAATCCCATCCAGGCCGACTCAGTGCCGCAGCCACCAGGGATGTCCGAACATGGAGGGTGGGGGCGGGGCTTTTGTGTCTGGAGGCCTGACAAGCCCATGACCTCGCCCCTTGGCACGCAGGCCCAGCAGGACCCCCTCCACCTAGCAAGGTGCCCAGGAGGATGCCGGGTCTGGGGGTGCGGTGTCTGAGTCTGCTGCCTGGAAGGAGGGAACAGGAAGGAGAGGGAGGCGAGAAGAGGCCACGGGCAGGAAGGTGGCCTGTTCACCCCGCTATCCCGGCGGTGCCCAGAGGGCCCCCAACAGGGAACAGACAGGCGGGGGGGGGGGGGGACCCAGCGCCTCCAGTGGCGACTCACCGAGACAAGGGGTGTGAGGCCGGGCTTCTCCCACTTTCCGTCCTCACTCCTTCCTCGGCAGCACTTACTGAACAGACATCTAATGCTATTCATCGCGTCACGCCAACACTGAACAAGAACCCAAAGAAAGGAGGAGGGTAAAGGGACAGAGGCTGTAAGTAAATGTTTACTGTGCGCCAGACGCGGCCGTAAGATACCAAAGCTGATGCAATTCTCCGGGAACTATTTGGTTTTAAAAGGCAAAACAGTTCACAGCGACCTGGTGCGAGGGGCCGTGACAGAGGTGGGGACAGTGGCGTGAGGAGGGCGCCCCCAGGCCCCCTGAAGGGGCCGCTTGTGCTGGGAGGCCCAGGGCCCAGGGCAGAGGCTGCAGGGCCACGTGGGGCCGCATGGCCGGGAGAGGGAGAAGGCTGGTGGGGAAGGGGGGGCAGGCACAGCGAGACGACACCTCTTTGGGGGGGGCGACGCCACCAACTCAAAGGAGGTCAGCCAGGGAACAGGCTGGAAAGGCAAGGAAATGAGTGCTCATCTGTGATCCCGCCCCCATGGCCAGCGAATGTCACTCATTCCGTGGCACGATCCTAGGAGGGAAAAGGCTTTCTTCTCTTTCTTTTTTTAAATATATTTTGTTATTGATTTCAGAGAGGAAGGGAAAGGGAGAGAGAGGAAAATCAATAAGAGAGAATCATTGATCAGCAGCCTCCTGCACACCGCACACTGGGGACTGAGCCCCAAACCAGAGCATGTGCCCTGATGGGGCATGAACTGTGGCCTCCTGGTTCAGAGGCTGACGCTCCGCCACTGAGCCGCGCCCGCCGGGCTCTCTCTGCCTTTTTCTGTTTGTTTTGTTTTGTCTCCTCTGCAGCTCACCTCCACCAGATCCCTTAGCACAAGCCAGTGCGTACAAGGGCGAGGCAGGCGCAGCAGGCCGAGCCTGTGGTGGGGGTGCAGCCTGTGGCAGGGGGTGAGGCCTGTGGTGGGGGTGCGGCCTGTGGCAGGGGGCACCACCTGCAGGTAGAGGGAGGCGGCTTTGCCAGACCTGCCAGGTTCCCAGGGGAAGCCAGGAGCCTGAACCTGTGTGCTACCTCCCCATCTTTAAAGGTCAGCAGCCCGTTCACAGTTGTGAGAAACACTGGAGGGCTGTGGTGTTCACCTGAACCGCACATGCCCCAGGGGAGACAGGGCCAGGAGGCCAGATTCCGCAAGCGGGGAGAGCAGGGGGTCAGGTGATACAGCAGGTCCTGGCTGCACCGGTGCTGCCCCCGGGCCTTGCGCTGGCCCCTGGGTCACAGCTTCTTCCCATTTCCTGTGTCTGGGCTGACTCAGCCTCACATGCCGGCTACACGGGACGTGACTGAGCGGAGGGTATGAGGCCGAGGAGACTGCCTGCCCCTGGGGCACTCAGGCCAGAGGCGGGGTATCCTTTCTGCCCAGCATCGGGCGGGGCTGCAGGATGTCCAGGTGGAAGGCGATGCTGGCAAGAGCCCAGACTGGGGCAGCCTTGCAGGCCTGTCCTCATAGGGAAGGAAGAAAAAGCCACGCACCGTGGATGTTGCTCAACAAGGGTCATTGCCAGAGCTGCTCAGCTCAAAAAACAAACTGCTTCAACCTATATCAGATCCTTTAAAGCAGCGGTTCTCACCCTTCCTCATGCCGCGACCCTTTCATGCAGTTCCTCATGTTGTGGTGACCCCCAACCATAAAATTATTTTCGTTGCTACCTCATAACTGTCATGTTGCTCCTGTTATGAATCGTCATGTAAATATCTGATATGCAGGATGTATTTAGGTGACCCCTGTGAAAGGGTCGTTTGACCCCCAAAGGGTCGCGACCCACAGGTTGAGAACCGCCGCTTTAAAGACGAAACTCGAGGCGAGAGGCAGGAGATTAAAAACAGAAAGCAAAGCGCAGCACTTCCCATGGAGAGCTGCTCAGGTCGGAGTAAGGCTTGCGGCCCTAGAGGCGGCGAGAGGCACCCCTCGCCCCAGAGCAGTCAGGTCCCCTCTCCCCCGAGCGCGAGGAAAGCACAGGATTTGGAAACAGGCGCCCTGGCTTCGCACTTGGCTCCCCAGCTGTGGGGTGGGGTGAGCTTGATCCAGGCCCCTCGCCGCAGCTTCCTCCTCTAGACAAGGGGCGCTGCTGGAGCGCCCGCTGGGGCTGTGAGCTCAGGTGAGCAGGCCTTTGCAGGCTCCTGAGCCCTGAACAGATACTCATCTTTCTGCCTCTTGGGGGTAAGCTGATCATTAGGGGCGACTCCTGACACCCCTGAGCTCAATACTGAGTCAGCAAAATGACCGCTCGCACTGAATCAGAACGAACGGTGACTGGGCCGGCGCCTGCTGTCCCCAGCGCCGGGCCCCTCCTCAGCGTTACACTCAGCACTCCATTGCCAGCTACTTCCGAGCCTGAAGCCCCAGGGCCAGGCGTGCTCTCAAGGCCTGGGGTCGCTGGTAAATTTCCCACATCCACCTGGGAGAGCAGAGGGCTTCGTTACCATAGCAACCTGTGCAGTTCAATCCAAGAGTGTGGTACAAGTCTGGCCTCAACCCACCCCTCAGGTCAGGAACACCCGTGGTCCCGGGGAAACCGGCCTACCTGCTTCTCAGTGAGGAAGTACCTGGTGACCTGACCTGCTTTCCTTTTCCCAGGACTCCGGCTTCGGACGGCCGGGTCCCTGACTGCACACGGGAGGTAATGACACCTCAAACCACCATGCCCGTCTCACCTGGCCCCAAGCACCATTGAACTCACTCGCCGCAATTTCGAAAAGTTGGCATGACAGCCCCAGAAGGGAGGCCCTGCCAGCACTCAGTCCTTGCAGGACTCTCTGCAGCTGGGAGGAGGCCCCTCCCACCCCGATGCTGAGGAGTTAAGAGGCTTCGGGGGTAAAAGAAAGAGATCAGGGCTTCGGAGCCCAATGGTCCTGCGTTAAATCCCAGGGTGACCTTGTACCAGCTGCTTGACCTTGGGCAGATGACCCTGCTCCTCACTGGGAAAGTGGGCTAACCCCGACATGGCCCTCAGATCGCGGAAGGATGGAGTGGGAATTACACCAGAGAACCTGTGGCGGCCAATGAAGCACCGAGCAGGCGCCAGGGGCACGATTCACACACTCACACCTCATTGTGTGAAGGTCGCCTGGCAACACTGCCAGGCCCCCAGGGAGGCCAAGGGTGTGACCTTCTGAAGCAGGCTCCACGGAACCGGAACCGGAGCCAAGGCCCCGACTACACGCGTGCCCACGTGTGCACGGGGGGGGGGGGGGCGCAGCCCTCAGGACAGGCTTCCGAAGGAGACGGGCGCCCACAGAAGGCTCCTGGGTCCCCTGAGTAACTCCACCCAAGCCCCTCTTCCCAGAGGCAGGCCCGCAAGTGAGAAGACCCAGGAAGGATGTGCCCAGTTGCCATGCCCGATGGGGAAGGGGCACTCTCATCATCTATTTTTTCTGCCCAAACTAGAAACCCCTCCCAACCGCCCTCACTTCCAGCCCTCCAGGCTGCCTGGGAGCACAGGCCTCCCTAACCCCTGACGTCCAATCACCGGCTTTATCCAGTCGAGTGCCTCCATCCCTGTCCTTCTGCCAACTCCACACGGGTCTTCCCACCTCCAGGTCTCTTCCTTACAACCTTCTGGATTACTTCTTTCTTAACAGCCCCTCCCCTGCCTTCCCGAAAGCTAGTCAACACGCCCGCTCCCTCCACTATCTCCACCGTCTCCCAGCAGGAGCATCGGGACAGGCTGCAGGATGTGCCTCCTCCATCTTTTCCCACGTGGTGAACCCACTCCTGTTGTTTTCACAAACCTTTGCAACTTTTTTTTCAAAGGAGAATATTTTTGGTTTTTTCAGACATTATCCCCAAACCCGCAGCGCAGAGAACAAACCAGAGGCCACTCTCTGGGCAGAGAGGTAGAGGGAGAGCCGTAGTTCCCCGAAGTCTCAAGGGGGGCTCCAGGCACTTCCCCAGAAAGTGGTTTGAAAACCACTATCCTAACCCTCACCTCTCTGATCCCAACCCTCCCTGCCTGGCCCCTGCCCAAGCCCCTCCTCTGCGCCCGTTCAGAGGCCATGGCTCACCTGAAGGCCCAGGGCGGAGGGAGGGCTCTGCATAGGAAACGCTACCTGGCAGCCCCGGTACCTACAGAGCACATGGGGGGGGCGGGATGAAGTCTTGGGAGGAGGAGCAAGGAAAGTGCCGCAGAGGAGCTAACACGAGGGCTCATCCCTCACAGCGGTGCTCTCAGGAGGGAGGAGGTGTGGGACAGAGGGTTCCAGGCTGCAGGAAGGCAGAGCAGAGGATGGCGGCGGATCGGGCAGATGGGGTGCCAAGGGCAGCGGTGGAGCCACGCTTACCACCTTCCGCTGTTCCCCCCTCCCAGCCTCGGGGTCCCACCACCGAAACAGAAAGAGGGCAGTGCCAGAGCCACTGCGCCCAGAGCACCGTCCGGGGCACTCTCCCCTCAGCGCGTGGCCCTCACTGGGTCTTCGCCGGGGAGGCCCTTGGTTCTCCTCCCTTGACCGACAGGAGCCCAGCTCGGAGGGAGGGGGAGGCTGGAGCCTGGACTTCACCCAGGGCGGTCCACCCAGGGCGCCCCGGCCCCGGCCCCGCGCTGCACACGGCACCTGCCGCCTCTTAGTCATACAGGGGCGCGTCTCTCCTCTCCTGCCCATCCTAAGCCCCGGGGGCGGGGGGCAGTCCATCACCCCAACAAACCTGTTTGGTATTTGCTCACGCTCTCACACCGACACGTGGGAGGGGAAGTTGTGAGAGAAGCGCCCTGGCGGAGCGCCTGCTCGGCAAACATGCGTCACCCACTGCGGGTCAGAGGTCTCTCTGCCGAGGCAACGATCCAGGAACAAACCAGAACCTTCTGAGAACCCAGATCCTAAGCAGAAGCTAAGAGAATGCCCAAACGGAGCTCTGATCGGATTAAAGCCAAGTCTTCAGTGGTCTGACTGTGAGATTCTGGAAAAACCCTCCGGGTCCCGGCCAACAATGTCCGAGCTGATTCCGGCGGCCGGTCACCCCCGCGCCCCCTGAGAGGCAGACTTAGGTCTGATGAGCCAATCCCACAGCAACGAGGAAAGGAAGAGGGTGCCCTGGGAAACCGCACGTCTGAGCTCAGCAAACCCACAAACTCCTGGAGGCAGTGCTCCCCACACCTGCCTTGTAAGGATCACTCCCTGCACATGTTAAAGGCACAGGTCCTTGCCCTGACCAGTTTGACTCAGTGGATAGAGCGTTGGCCTGCAGACTGAAGGGTCCCGGGTTCGATTCCGGTCAAGGGCATGTACCTTGGTTGCGGGCACATCCCCAGTAGGGGGTGTGCAGGAGGCAGCTGATCGATGTTCCTCACTCTCTATCCCTCTTCCTTCCTCTCTGTGAAAAATCAATAAAATATATTTAAAAAAAAGACACAGGTCCCCGAGGCCGGCGGACAGCCTACAGAGACTCTCCAGAGGGCGGCTGGGCTCTCAGTAAGTGTCACAGGGGATTCCCGAGGTCCAGCAAGTGCAGAATCGCTTTGACATGAGACCAGCAGGTCAAACTCCCCAATGGGCCGCTGCCTGGCTCTGTGGGGCCCCGGCCAACTACCTCCCACCTCTGACTCTCTTCACCTGTGAAATGG